CTCAGCCAGCCTTCCTGTGGTTCTGGATGATGTCCATTCCATTGTTTAGTTGTTTTTTGAAGTGGTTGTTCGAGGCAGCAATCTCTGGCGTTAACCTATGCCGCCATCTTGGTTTCTCCCCCGAGACAGTTTTATAGAGGAAGAAACAGCCGCTCACAGAGGTCCCTTCAGGCACAAGCTGGGATGCGGTGGCCAGGACTGGTGCCCAGCCTCTAGGATCGGAGCCTCTGCTCTTTCCTCCACATGCAGCAGGCACATCCTGCCAGGCACTCGGCTCAGAAATAAGAGGGTACCTGTGCACGCAGAGAAGAGGGTTCAAGAGCTAGAATTTAGCTTTGTCGGGAATACACAGACTGAAGCATGGAAAGGACATGGGATGGACAATACAGAGAAAGAACATTAGAGAAACGTGAGGCACTGTGTAAAAGTGTAACACGTGTGAGATTCCAGTCTTGGGAGGAAAGGAGAGGATAAAACAGAAGTGATACCTGAAGAAATATAGCTGAGTGTTTCCAAAAGGCATCAAGCCTCAGACTCAAGGAGCTCTGAGAACCCCTGAGCGCTCCCTGCCAAACTGGTGAAAAATGAAGTTAAAGAGAAAATGTTAAAAGTAGCCAGCAGAAAAGACACCCTTGTGTTAAATGGAGCAAGAAGACCTTTTAGAAGGGAACACGAAGGGGTATCAGGATTTCTCACCAGCTCACCCGCACTCAAAATAAACATTAAAAGTTCATCAGGTAGAGGGAAAACTATCCCCATTGAAGGGAGTAAATAGAGTAAGAATAAAGAGTGCCAAAGTAAAAGGTGGATAAAACTAAATTAATATGGACTGTTTGAAATAATATCTTGTGGGATTTAAAACATATAAACAATAGACATAATTAATAAAACAAAAGTTGTCAGTGAGAACTTACACTCCTGGACTCCAAAGTCTCATCTGAGACCTGGGTGAAAATAAACAAACAGAGCACCTCCCCAAATACTGTCGTGTCTACTGCCACCTAGTGGCAGCGTACAATAATTGCAGGGAAACCTAGGAGAAAAGATTTACAAGGTGTAGTAACCAAAAACCTAGTTCACATGGCAAGCTGGCATTGAGCTGTTCAATAAATACTTGTTGAATGAATAGGTCACTGCTATGTACTCTTCCTATATTTCTTTTTAAGGAAAACACTGAAATAAAAACTTGCATTTGTTTATTATAAAGAATTCAATAAAACATGCTGAAATCCCAAAGATGGAAGTCAGAAAAGCACCCAGTTCCCACCAGCCAGAGCAACCCAATAACATTCGGTGAACGCAATTTTGGACAATTTAATATGCAAATACAAGAAGAGGAGCATGGATAGTGAACAGGTGGGTAGAGGTACTTTCATAAAACCATAACAATCCTATTTTGGATACAATTTCAAATTTAATTTTACTTGAATTTCACAAAAGAACGAGACATTGATATAATTGCTGAATTTATATACATCTGTGGTTCTCAACCTCCCTAATACCGCAACCCTTTAATACAGTTCCTCATGTTGTGGTGACCCCCAACCATAAAATTATTTTCGTTGTTACTTCATAACTGTAATTTTGCTACTGTTATGAATCATAATGTAAATATATGATATGCAGGATGTATTTTCATTGTTACAAATTGAACATAATTAAAGCATAGTGATTAATCACAAAAACAATATGTAATTATATGTGTGTTTTCCAATGGTCTTAGGCGACCCCTGTGAAAGGGTCATTCGACCCCCAAAGGTGCCGTGATCCACAGGTTGAGAACTGCTGATATACATATTTCCTCTAGGTAAGAGATACATCCCCTAAAATATCCCTTCAAGATTAAGAAGAAGAAGAAGAAGAAGAAGAAGAAGAAGAAGAAGAAGAAGAAGAAACTGTCAGAACTTTAAAGGTTGAAGTCATTATGATTTTTACCAAGGACATATTTTCATTTTTGTTGGTATAAACTGACTTCTTGCTGTGAAAGATGAGTCTAGTTTCCTTGTGTACTTGTTTATCTTTAATTCTATACTTAACATTTCTATGAAAACTTATGTGTAGGAATAATTTACGGCCTACAATTGTAATGCGTTCCTCCAGAGATGATTTGTATTTGCTTTTGCCACGCATCCGGAGGCCTCAGTTTGAGACCACCTAAACACAAGATCAAGACTTGAGCCCGTTTGGCTCAGTGGATATAGCGTGGGCCTACAGACTGAAGGGTCCTGGGTTCAATCCCAGTCAGAGGCATATTCCTGGCTTGCGGGTTCCATCTCCTTTCACAGGGGTCGCTTAAGACCATCGGAAAACACATATATAATTACATATTGTTTTTGTAATTAATCACTATGCTTTAATTATGTTCAATTTGTAACAATGAAAATACATCCTGCATATCAGATATTTACATTACGATTCATAAAGTAGCAAAATTACAGTTATGAAGTAACAACGAAAATAATTTTATGGTTGGGGGTCACCACAACATGAGGAACTGTATTAAAGGGTGGCAGCATTAGGAAGGTTGAGAACCACTGTCCTAAGATGAAGGGAGCAATCAGAGAGGTGGAAGAAGGATCTTGCCCTTCACCAGAGGACGGTGAGAGCCATTTCAGTGCATGGTGGAAATGACTGGCCCGGGCCTAGGAGTGACATGTCCAAGAGCTCCTCAGAGGGCCTGTATCTTGTTGCTTTTTAAAGGGGCGCTGAGGCAAGCTGCTTTACACTCAAAGCCAGCCAACACTGGTGCATTAAAGAAAATTAGGCCCTAGCGGCTTTGGCTCAGTGGACAGAGCATTGGCTTGAGGACTGAAGGATCCCGGGTTCGATTCTGGTCAAGGGCCCAAGCCCAGGTTGCGGGCTTCATCCCCAGTGGGGGATGTGCAGGAAGCAGCCAGCTGATCAATGATTCTCTCTCGTCATTGATGTTTCTAGCTCTCTCTCCTTCTCCCTTCCTCTCAAGAATCAATAATAATATATTTTAAAACAAAGAAGAAGGAAGGAAATTAGCTCAGTGGATGAAATACTCCATTAAGCTACTTACCCTCCTGGGTATGTTTTAGGTAGGAGATCTGGGAGACACTCATAATCGAATCAAGTTGCTATAATCCAATCCAATTCAATCCAATCCAGGGCCGCCCTAGAAGTGGCAATAACTAGAGCTGTGCGGAGCAGCGTGGGAGGCTAGGAGCCCTGGTTCAGCAAAACCACCCTCTGTGAGTGCCTGGCCCAGCTGTCAGCCTGCGCTGGGCAGTGTCAGCCTGGAGGAGGGGCCCTCCCTCCCCTCTTCTTTTTGTAAAATTGTGCTCACTCTGCACAGATTTGCTCCTTGTTTTAGGCATGAGAAGGTGCCCAGAGAGGTGATTAGAAAAAAACAAATACGGTTTCTCAGTGCCTTCTGGCTTGAATGGATTTCGATGAAAATGAATTGGAAGGTTCACCACTTAGGTCCCAGAGTAGCCGAAGTTAGGGATGGGGGGTGAGGGTGGGGGTGAGGGAAGGGGTGCGGCTGCTCCACCATGAGCTGTAGGTGCTGTGAGCAGGCTGGCTCTACCTGCAACCCGAAACCCGAAATATAGTCCTGGCACCCGCTAACTTCGGGCCTCACACCTCTGCTCACAGTCGATCGGAGGACAAAGCACCTGGGTCTCAGCGACTCTCTTGTGTTTGGGCGGAGGCAGCAGGAAGGGCCGGGCCTCAAGGTGCACCTCTTCTTTCTTTTCTTTTCTTTTTTTAAAAAATATATTTTATTGATTTTTTTTACAGAGAGGAAGGGAGAGGGATAGAGAGTTAGAAACAGTGATGAGAGAGAAACATCGATCAGCTACCTCCTGCACACTCCCTACTGGGGATGTGCCTGCAACCAAGGTACATGCCCTTGACCAGAATTGAACCTGGGACCCTTGAGTCCGCAGGCCGACGCTCTATCCACTGAGCCAAATCAGTTAGGGCTGCACCTCTTATTTCTTGCTGAGGGGTTTCCACCTGCGGTTGTGGCAGAGAGCGGGGTTCCTGAGTACCAGGTGGGGGGAGGGGGAGAGCAGGAGGTTCCTCAGCTCCTCCCCCAAGGCAACGCCCCTCCCCACTCCCCCCCCCACACACACTCATTTAAGCCAATGAAGACCTTTGGTTCCTTCAAAAAATAAGTAAAATTATTAAACATCTACAGCCACAGACTCTACCTTCATGGCGCTTACAGTCTAGTGGAGGAGACATAGGATAATAAATAAAGGAATGAAATAGTGTTGTGGACCAACATTCCCGAGAATAAGACCACCGACTCCAATTAGGTCTCAAACAGCAAGCGAGGATTTATTGAGCTGACCAGCAACTACAGTGACAGCACCCTGCCGAAGCAGAGGCTGAACTGCAGTGCTGACTACAGGAGTTACATTTTATTATTAAATTCTGTGGAGGCCCAGAGAAAAATGTGTCTTTCAAATTCTGGGCCCCCCAATATGGAGGAAACTCTCTTTATTTATACTTTTTCCAGTCCTTTGTCTCCCAAATTTGGAATGAGACTTCCGGGCCTTCTGAGAAAGAAGGCCAACGTGCTGGGAAGGGGCCATGAGACCGTATCTCCAGGCCTGGCCTGAGGTCAGTATCTTCCTATCTGTGTGTTTTAGGAACAGACAGCACAGCATGACCCGTCTGGCCAAAGCGCCAGATATGCAGCCCAGCACAATAGGAAGCATCAAGTCTATATCGTGTTGACTGGCGCTCCCGAGAAAAGGGGGGGGGGGGGGGGAGCGGGCGGTCAGGGACGGCCTCTCTCTAGGTGTCAGCGACGGCCTGCAGGAATGTCTGCGGCCTAGAGCCCCTGTGATGTCCGCGGCTACGGGAAGGGAGGTCCCAGCAGCTGGTGTCCTGCCTCCGCCTTCATCCGTGTCACCCACGCTCTGCACCCTCAGCTCCGGCCCACATGGCCTCTGGAGGCTGCAGACGGAGACCCACACCCCGAGCAGGAGCCTGGGCTTGAGCGGAATCCAACAGGAGCAGCCATGTGGCTGGTGAAGGTGCCCAGGTACCTGTCGCAGCCGTGGTCTGGCGCTTCCGGGAGCGGGCAGGTGGGGAAGCTGCAGATGGCCCGGAACCCAGGGAAGTCCGAGTTGTTCTTTACTTTGCACGAGGGACTCACGCGCGCTCCCGGGGAGCATCCGGTGCTCCTGCGGGCCGAGAGGGCAGGCCCTCGCGGTGCTGGACTGGGATGCACACCTGCCGCGGGGGAACGCTCCTGGAGGCGGAAGAGAACGCGCAGAGAGCGGTCTCGGCCTCGCAGCCTGGCCCGCACCGTGCAGGTCCCGCCACGTGCCCGGCACCACCAGTTACAAACCTGTCGCCAACCCTCCGCGCACATGGAATATGAAAAGAAAAAGAAAGAAAGTGGAAAGCAAGTTCGGGCGGACAAAGACCAGGGGTTAGCCTTGCTCTTCGCTGCCTTTGAGGAACACCAGTGTTACTGCATGAAGGACTTGGTTGGCGTCGCTCTGCAACTGTACCCGAAGGGGTTCTTGCATGAAGTAGCTGTTCGGGTTGCGCAAGGGCCCCACGGGAGCGCATGGAACTGGGGGACAACTAGCCTTCTTCTCATGCCCGCCATGTCTTGCAAGTCTATGTTTGAGTTCGCTTTTCTTTCCATGATGCAGGAGGCAATATGCGGGTGACAACCTTCCAGTAACAAAACTGAGGCAGTGAGGCGATGAGTTGGAAGGGGTGGGGGACGAAATAACTTTTTGTTTTTAAGTATTCACTTTAGGTTGTAAAACGGGGCAATAAAGAAAAAGGGCAAAATGAGAAAACATGGTCTTTCTTTTCGTTCTTTCAAGTTCTCAGCTTATTAATCCTCTCGTGAAATATCTGCACAGTCACCACGGATCAAGTCACTGGAGAATCTCTACTCCTGTTGTCCAATCCCCAGCTCCTTTTGTCAGCACCAGCGTTGGCCTTTGAGGTCCCCCTGCCTTTCTGTGTTCTGTGTTCCTTTCTCTGTTTTGTTTTTTTGGAATCTTCTCATATAGGGTCACGTCTTCCAAGTCCATGTTTGGGTTCTTTCTTCTTTGCATTAACGCAAGGAATCATAAATCATGCCAAAGCCGCTTGTCTTGCTGCCACCAAAATGGGTCCTGAGTCCAACACAAAGATGGCACCTGGTGTAATCGTGTGCACTGAGGCTAGTTTCCCCAAATGCTGTCTTAGGTAGTGCTGCCTTCCCCGGGCGAAGGACGTCAATGACCGTTTGTTCCCCCTGAAGTTGTCAATCATGAACTTCCTGGTCTGCATAGTTACCATGTCCCTCATGATGGCCGCCGATCTTCAAGCGGCCAGGGAGGAAAAGATGAGAAAATATTTTCTGGAGACTGTTTGCCTTTGCTATGTCCTCCCAGAGTTCCACTAATCTAAGTGAAAAGAGAAGAGTAGCACAGCCAGGGACAAACAGAAATGTCACCAGGAACTCTGGACTGGTGTGGGCTGAGGTGCGGCTTTGTGGGCCATGCACAGACAGGTGGGGTAGTTGTGTGTGTGTGTGTGGGGGGGGGGGGCGGGGGGGAGAGGGGGAGGACTCAAAGTTCTACATTCTAAAATTACTGAAGAACAACATTGTTTCTCAAATGCTTAAAACGTGTCACCTTTTCGTATGCAGACACACTCATGAAAAAAAAATATTAAGAGAGTGAGGTCATCAAAACTTGCCAGCTGGCAGGCTGGGGAGGACGGTGCCTGGTCGATCAATGGGAACAGGCTAGATTAAGGACACTTCCCTTTTCTTCAAGTGAGTTATGTGAATTTACCTTACATTGGGATCCCCAATTGTTGCCTAAAATCTCTTTTAAAGAGATTCTACTCTGGCAACAAGCACTGAAATAAAAATTTACACTCATAATAGCAACAACAATAATAATAATTGCTAACCTTTATGTGCTTGCTGTACACTAGATGCTGTGTACACTAGACTGGTAGGGGATGACATCATTTATTGGATAACTAGAGGCCCAGTGCATGAAAATTCATGCACTAGAGGGGGGTCCCTCAGCCTGGCCTGCCCCCTCTCACAGTTTGGGAGCCCTCAGGGGTGGGAGGAAAGCCTCGGCCAACCCTGGTTACTGCACCTCAGGCCAGCCCTGGGTGGCTGGGGTCTGAGGGGACTGGGGGACTCCGGAGGCAGGTGTGTGGAGCAGCCGGGCCTACCTGGGGGCAGGCCTGGACTTGCCATGCACCTGCTGCCCCGCCGGGGCTAAGGGGACTGGGAACTGCCATCTTGTGGCTGTAGGTGCCACCATCTTTGAGGGTGAGGCAGTCAATTAGCATATTCCCTCCTTATTGGCTGTAGGTGCTACCATCTTTGCGATGGTGTGAAGGTCAATTAGCATATTCCCTCTTTGTTAGATAGGATCTTTTTCTCTCAGTAACCCACAAGGGAGATATGGATTCTCTCTTCTGCTCCCCCGACCCCATCCTTCAAAGGCTGCAAGGGATGAGGGATTGAAGAAAGGTTTGGGGTTTTACTCTTGTTTTAAAAGATGTCAACCTGCTGTCAACTGGGGAAACCAATGATACTGGAAATAAGGGAAGTCAGAGAAGTCCTTGAAGCTAAGCAGGCTGGGGTCTTTAACCAGGTTGGTGTGGAGGAGTTGGCAAAGATATTTTTCATGAGCAGAGGACAGGAAAAGAAGTATTAGTACAGATGCAGGCAGGCTGATAGATTTGGTAGCAGGAAGAAGAGGGCTTACCTTTCTGGTTGCCTTATTCTTTGAATAAAATATGGGGCAGCCCTAGTTGTACTCTCTCTTCTCATTGTATACTGCTGGTTTAGGGCTCCATCAATCCATGACAGAAATACTAAATTTCTTAATAGCATTTACTGCTACCACTCATGTTCTAAATAATCTTAATGTCTCTGCCAAATTTTCTACCTGAAACATCCAATTTTATTTGTCCCATACCTGGTATAAAACCTTAGGTGGTTCTTTTTTTAAAAAATATTTTTTTATTGATTTCAGAGAGTAAGGGAGAGGGTTAGAGAGATGGAAACATCAATGATTAGAGAGAATCATGGATTGGCTTCCTCCTGCACGGCCCTATTGGGGACTGAACTCACAACCCAACCTCTACCCTTGACCGAAATCCAACCTGAGACCCTTCAGTGCATAGGCCAATGCTCCATCCACTGAGCCAAACCAGCTAGTGCCCTTAATTGATTCTTTATTCACGACCTTATTTCCCAGACCTCTACCTATTTTTCTAGGCCATCCATACTCTATCCTGCCATTAATGAGCACCTTCTCTGACATCTGAGTTCCAATTATTTGTAGGGGATGAATATGGGGAATCATGCTCTAAGTGATCTCATTGATATTCTCCCAAATGATAATTCTTATTGGAATTTCAGAATGCTCCAAGTGACATATAGAGTGCTGGCCAAGCTTGGCTCACTCACAGAGAGGACTGGCATTTCCAATTCACGCACAGAGGCACATGGAGGAGTAGTGAGCAGGCCAGCTTTTACACATCAGGTTGCCTGGCACAGGACCAGCACCCAACGAATGCTTTTTAAATGAATGAATGGCTAAATGCAGGAACATTTACTAAATATATCCCTCCAATTAGACTGTCAAAGACAATTCATGTTTGAATTCAAGTCCTTTTTAATGGATAAGTGAAGCTCTGGAAATTTTAAGTGCAAGTGAGTGAAGTGGCTCCAAGGACTTTATGGCTGGAAGGTTAACAATATTTGAAATGAAATGAATATCAGGATTATACAAATTTATTTTGAGGGTTGCAATTCATTTAACTAGCACACTATAACTAAATTAAGCAAAGCTTGGCTTTGTATCCCAAATATAGAGAGATGCTAAAAATTATATTCAGGCCTTAGCCAGTTTGGCTCTGTGGTTAGAGCATCAGCCCAGCGACTTAACAGTCTCAGGTTCGATTCCGGTCAAGGGCACAAAACTCAGTTACAGGCTTGATCCCTGGCTCCAGTCAGGGTGTGTGTAGAAGGCAACAAATTGATGTGTCTCTCTCACATGATATTTCTCTCTCAATGTGTCTCTCCGTCCCTTCCTCTCTCTCTAAAAATCAATGGGATAAATATCCTTGGGTGAGGATTAACAAAAGAATTTATATTCAGAACTGATGGAGAAGGAGATTGAATGGCTGGAAGAGATGGACAGCTAGCTGGTACCACCAACACTAGCTTCTATACTAGTATACTATTTTCCTCTACTTATACCATTAAAAAAATAACTTATTCTATGCTTATTTATTATTTTCTCCCCTTAGACTCTTTGAAATAAGCCATGGTTGTCCTTGATGTTTGGGAGAAAGAATTACAGTCAGAATTCCTGATGATCCTGATGAACAGGTACAGATCCAAAGACGGAGAAACAGCGATCAGACTATTAATCCCCAGAGGGAAAGTAGGGGAGGGAGGAGGCAAGGGGAAGAGATCAACCAAAGGACTTGTATGCATGCATATAAGCCAAACCAATGGACATGGACAACAGGGGGATGAGAGCATGAGTGGGTGGGGGGGGGAGATGAGGGTTTAATGGGGGGGGATGAGGACACATTTGTAATACCTTAACTAATAAAGAATTTTAAAAAAAAAGGAATTCCTGATGAGGAAGGGACCAAACATAAGAAGCTGATCAAGGATTACAGGAGCTACCCCTTTGGGGTGATTTAGAAGCAGGACAGCCCCAGCCTGCAGGATGTTACTCATTTCCAATGTTGATGGGCAGTATGCAGGCAAAGGGCAGATGAGAAAGAGAACAAAAGTAAAGGTGACCATCGTAGTCACTTGAGGGTGACATTTCCAAGATTCAGGAAATAGAGACAGTGGGATTTGAGAAAAGTAACTCCCTCAGTGAGACCCGTCAGCCATTCCAGAGCTCAGGCATTAATTTGACAAGGTTTAGCCTAAATGGAGATTTCAAAAATAACTGTTTTCTATTTAAGAGTTAGGAGCAAGGCTTGATAAATTGTTTGAGCTGTTTGTGGATGAATCTGAAAGGATGTTTTAGTGTTCCAGATGGGCCAGGTTAGCTGGAGGGATCAGAGGAGGGTAAGGGAAATGGAGGTCCTCATGCTCCATAATCTACCCAGGTGGACTGACCAATTAGTTGCTTAGTGGTAGATCATTAAAATAAAGGCATAGTCCTAGCTGGTTTGGCTGAGTGGATAGAATGCTAGCCTGCAGACTGAAGGATCCCAGGTTCCATTCTGGTTAAGGCACATGCCCAGGTTTGGGGCTTGATCCCCAGTAGGGGGCATGCAGGAATCAACCAATCAATGATTTGCTCTCATCATTGATGTTTCTATTTCTCTCTCACTTTCCCGTCCTCTCTGAAAGCAATAAAAATATATTAAAAACAATAAATAAATAAATAAATAAATAAATAAATAAATAAATAAATAAAAGCATATTCATTGGGGTGCAGTGGCCCTTCTAAAACAGTGACCTCCACTCCGAAGTTTCCCACTGCTCAATCTTTTTCATCTTTTTGCCCTTCCTCAGCTTGTTTTCAGAAGCAGACCTGCTCCTTATTGAACTCCATTGAATGTCTTTGAAAAAGTAGCAGAGCCCCACCTTAAGGGTTCCATGGAGAAGCTGGGAATGGGTGCTTGGGTCCTACTGGTTCACTTATACCTATGGTACCAGGAC